TCCAGTGGATTTGACTAATGTGTGGTCGAGAAAATTTGGTTTTATAATGATGTGGTTGTAATAATGTTGATGGTAGATCAAGAATTATGCTTATTTGGTTTCTATCTATTCAATCAATGTTCTGAATGTCAATGATCAGATGATTACTATTGAGACCACTCATTTATGTAATGGTTATGTTTTAATTATCTCTAAGGTTTATGCTTTTAATCCTGTAGCTTAGAGGGATTTACGTTGGGATCATATGAGAAGTATTGGGGCTGCTAGTACAGTGCCTTGGTTGGTACTAAGAGGTTTCAATACTTTATTGGATGATTCGGAAAGGATGGGAGGTAGTGGCTATTTATCTTCATATTCAGGTGAGTTTGTACTGGTTATGTCAGATTGCAGATTAATTGACCTTGGGGCTGTAAGGGGTTGGTTTTCTTGGTCGAATAGTCGGCTTAGTAGGATATGTATCAGAAAAAGATCGGATCATGCTATGACAACCATAGATTTAGTGATGGCGTCAAGCACTGCACGTTTGTGAGTGTGCGCACCCGTGCTCTCCTAAGCGCGAATAGGAAGCAAGAAAGAGAGAGATTCTATGACAGGGGTGCGTTTAGGTGCTTACCTCGTCGTTTGGGGTTCGGGGACACACCCGGGCAGTTTGCCCTCTCAGAACAATTACGAAGCCCTCCGGTTGTTTGCCAGCAGTATTTTGACACAAACTTCCTCAGGCTTTAACATGCCGCTCTGTTCTCTTATGCTCGAAACAACAATTAAGATTCATCGGGACCACAGCTTCCGCAACTCTGAGTCCTTCAATGCTATGAGAATAAGAGAAAGAAAGGGAAAGAGATGGGACCGCGTGTTTGTCCCGTGTCTAAATTCCTGCGTAGGTTAAGTAACGAGTGGAAAGAGAGAATGTGAGAAAGAGGAGAGAGACGAGCTTGAGGAGTGGCCTTGCCTAAGAGGAGAGAGAAAAAGGGATTGCATGCTCAGGATGGTCGTCAGGGGTATTTTCTCTCTTTTTGAACAATAAAAAATGTTCTAAAATATTATATTCCACTTTACAATCTATAATATTACAAAACGTTATCCTATCATTTTTCCATTTTTCTTGCTTGATGACATCACGGATTGTTCCATGACATCATGAAACGGGTTTTGGACTACAATATCGCCACGGATCAATGTAGTTTTCAATTTTTTTAAGTAACAACAACGGCTCACCCACCTGCCAGCTCAATAACAACCGTGCAATTTAAAAGTAACTCAACAACAATCTACCCGTCAGGCCAATAACAACCGTGCAATGTAAAAGTGCACGAACCCCCACCTCATCCGCTTGCTTCCAAAGATGTCTCGATGGCTTTTATATGTACTTGCTCAAGTCCAAAGCTTCCATGTGGGATTGTTTTACTTCTTAGTGATGATAAATAGGAGCACTACACATAACTCAAGAACACAAGTGGTAAGGTCGTAGGGACATAACAAAGAGTGCATGTATCATAGTTCTACAAGATCACAATGTACATTTAATCCTTTAGGTGAAAGAACATACTTATGGAGTACTTTTGAATCTAAAATATTTTCTTCTTGAACAATAAAAAAGGATCTAAAATATTATATTCCACTGTACAATCTATCAATATTATAAAAAGAAAAAAGCATTTTGAGTTTCTATGTACTTAGTGATTTTTTTTATTTTTCCTTATTGTTGTCAATAAGAAGTTTTATTAAAAAAATTAGTACTAGCTCATAGGATATTGGAAAAATAAAAAAATAATACTAACATTGGTTTATTGAACATTAAAAAAAAATATTAGTTTATAGGATATTTTAAGAGAGAAAAATAACACTAGCTCATATAACTTTAGAATTTATTTCAAGTTGCTTTATCAATTATCTTACATTGTAAATATGAATTTATTTATTTATTTTTCTAATTTTATTAAAATATGATTGCAAATTTATGTTAATAAATTCTATATTTCTATCAACACTAATTATTATACATTAAATTTATTTATTTGTGAGGGTCATACACTTGTTTCTTGAATCATATTTATTATAATATTGCAATTAATAATTATACTAATTACAATGATAATCAAATCTTATATTTTATTTATTAATTTATTTATATTATAAATTATGCAATGTATTATTTTTTGTTATAGTTGTAAAATAGATTTTTAACTTAGATGGTATTATAAGACAAATTTCAAATTTATTCTTATGTGTATTGTAAAATGATGATAAAAATAATAAAATACAAACCAATAAATCTAATATCAATGTATAATATTGTATTTAGTAGCGTTTTAATAAATATTTGATGAGAATCTTCATATAGAAAAGAACATCTCAATATTGGCATATTTATTGAAAAAAAATATAAGTTAAAAATGAAGTACCCTCATTTCTGATTGGATTCCTAAAAAATAACATTTGTAATGATTTTTAATAATTTTTTTGAATTTGTTTTAAGGTCGAATCCAACTTATTCAGTCAATTCCCGATCTGAAACGCCGATTCACCAATCTGGATGGGTTTTTGGGGTGCCCGATCCGGGGCATCGATCCTTTTTTTCAACCACTGGTTTGCAGCTTGATTTGAGTAGTGCGTATGCTAGAGTCTCTTGGGCCTTTATTGTGGCTAGGCTGCAGGTTTTGGGGTTTCTAGAAAATTTTATTTCCTGGGTTCGACTATGCATTTCCGTTACTTTTTCTATGTTAAGAAATGGTTCTCCAGAGGGTTTCATTAGAGGGAGAAGAAGCTTAAGGCAAATGGATCCTTTATCTTCGCACTATTCTTACTAGTTATGGACTAGACAGATTGACTATGTTATGGTGCCAGGGATAATTCCTAGGGTCTTTCCTTTGGGTTGTGATTATGGGGTTTCACATTTATTCTATGCTGATGATGTTGTCATTTTTTGTGAAGCATCTACAACCTCTGCGATTGCTATGAAAGGGATTTTCTCTAACTTTGAGCTTACCACTGGACAAAAGCTAAACACTACAAAGAGCAAAGTTGTTTTATTTGGAATAACACAGGCTACACGATATAAGATTTTGAAGGAGTTGGACTTTGGGAAAGGCTTCTTACTAATAAGATATTTGGGGCTGCCCTTTTCCATGGCCATTTAAAGCACAATTATTACTGCAGTCTAGATGGAAAGATTATTGGTAAGATTGATACATGACAAGCTCTTTGTTTATCTTATGTAGGTCGTTTACAACTGCTAAAATCAATACTTAACACCTCATTTATTTTTTAGATGCTATATTTTATTCTATCGAAATGAACTTGTAAGATGATTGAAAGGTTACAGAGGAATTTCCTATGGGCTGGTGTAGAAGAGAAAAAATGCGTTCACCTTGTCAAATGGAAGACAATTTGCTTTCCTCGTGTAGAGGGGGGGCTAGGGGTACGCAATATTGTTGATTTTAATACTGCAGGTATGATGAAGTTGGCCTGAAGAATCTTGGCAGATCCCTCATCTCTTTTAGCTAGATTTTTTAAACACAACTATTTCAGAAATACTTCTATATGGGAGGTCAAGATGAAACGGTGTTGCTCTTATGCTTGGAAAGGTATTCTATTGGGTTTATCTCATATGAATGATAATGTCCAATGGATTATTGGAAATGACCTGCTCGTGAATTTTTTGGTAGATCCCTGGTTATCAGGTCAATCTATATGCGACTCTTATGGTGGCCATCTACATGAGGATTTGGGGAACTTTGTTGGGAGGAATGTTTCTGATTATATGGAAGGCTCATCACGGTCTTGGGTTCTTCCTTCAACCACATCAGCTCCTTTAATTAGTATATAGAGGAAGGTCAAGAGTTACACTATATCCTTACAACCTCGAAAGGATTTCTTAGTCTGGATTCACTCTGTTAGTGGCATATTTTCAATTAAGGAAGCTTGGGATTTTATTCTAGATAAAGGATCGTCGCAGTTTGTTTTCCAAGTTTTTTGGTCTTTCAAATGTCATCCCAAAGCCAAATGGTTTATTGGCTTGCTCTTCATGATCGCTTACCCACTGCATTTCTTTTGCAGCATCGTGGTGTTAATTTTGATTCTATACGCCCTTTCCGTAGAAATAGTGACGATAGCCTTTATCATCTATGATTTCACTGTGTGTTCTCGTAGGGTGTATGGAGGTCGGTCGCATGGTGGTGTGGCAAATGTTTCACCCCTGGTATTTCTGCTCCTGATATGTTAAGAAGATGGTTAAGGTTCAAATTTAAATCAAATGGTCTCCTAAATATTTGAACTTCTATCTTCTTCACAACAATTTGGTTCTTATTGATAGAGAACATAGGTGAATCTTTGAGTCAAAGTCTACAAGAAGGGAACAAATTGCTCAACGTATTTCATCTCATATCAAGGAGTTGAGAGACGCAAAGAAATGGGCTTTTCATTTGTGAAAGAGAGCAATCATTGAAAATTTCTAGATTACATAGCGACAACAGGAACCTAGATCCCATCATTCCGGTAGCTGGGCCATTCCCTGAACCCCACCATTTCAAGTTGAATATTGATGGAGTGGGTGGTGATGGTGTTATCAAAGATAGTAATGGTGCTTTTGTTGTTGCATTTGCTAAGCCATTTGGCAATGCCACAAACAATTGTGCATAATTTTTTTTTCTTGAAGAAAGTCTCCATCTAGCTATCCAGATAATTGATTTCCTCTTCAAGTTGAAAGCGATTCCTTATTGGTAAATGTCATTCATGATCGTTGTCGTGCCCCATGGAGGTTACATACAGTTGCCGCTAATTGTCAGAGCAGACTTTCCACTCGCATATTGTCAATGTTCCACATTTATCGTGAGGCCAACATGGTAGCCGATGCTCTTGCTAAGAAAGCCTCTTTTGTGGAAATATGGAAACTTACAATTATTTTTAGGAACAATATTACTTTTTTTTTATGTGTACTCATATTAGGAAGGTGGTTTATTACATATGTTAGTTTCTATAATACTACACAGTTTTGTAACCCTATAAATTAGGGCTTTTGTTCAGATCTTTGATAAGCTCAATAATACTTCTTCATGGGGGCTTAAAGCCCAATTATAAAGAAATACAGTTTCTCACATGGTATCAGAGCTAGGTTACCCGTCGAGATCTATCTCTAAACCACTGAATCACGAGTCTACCCTTTGCCCTCAATTTCTTGATGAAATTTGTGATTTGTTCAACCATCATGGATTTGAAATCTCGTTTTGAGTTCGGACTCAGAAAGTCGGTCGAAGCAATCTCGTTGTCTTGCTAATTACTGTATATGAGGTCCACCTCTCTTCTCTCTATTAATTTCTTTTGTCGTCTTCTCTGCGAACATGTCTGGTTCCTTCCTGCCTGCTTCGATCAAGGAGGTTCTTTCTCTATGTCTCTCTCTGCAACTCCAAACCTCATCTGCTAGGCTGCAACTTTGTCTCTCTCTAAGTCAATGCCATACATCTGCTGTTCACGATCTGCAAAGCCTGAAGACATGGTTCCGAGCCATCAAAGGCGTCCCATCCTTTCTGTCCTCTCTTTCTCTCTCATCATCATCTCCTCTTTCTCTCTCATCTCCTCCTCTCTCTCCCGAATTTGTTTCTGCTGCTCCATTGCAAAATCAACCAAAAAGCATGTCCATCCTCTCTGTTCCCATCTTTTTTCTCTATACAATCTTTGCCATTATCTCTCTAAAAGTTAAAAAAAAAACCCTTCTTCTTTCTCTCCTGCTTTGCCCCTTCTTCTTTCTCCCTTGAAACTTGATTTGAATCTCTGATTTTCTTCATTCTAAAACCACCACAGAAACCACCATTTGATAAACCATTCGAAACTGCAAAACCATCCGAAATTGCCAGCTGAAACTTGAGGGTTTCTAGTGGGCTCTAAAGTTCCCTTGCCCAGATCTGAAGGGCTCTCTGTCAATCAACTTTCTCAAGCGATATTGTATCCATTCTTCTTCCCTATTTTAGTCAACTAGATCTTCGTTTGTGGGTGGATCTGCTAAGCGTTGAACCTCAACCATATTTGGCTTCAGTTTTTCAAGTATTGAAACAATCAAATTTCCTTCTTCAGTTACGAGCCTCACAAAGCGGGCTTGTTTTCGACGACGCCCCTTCGTATATGGCTTTGGTTTCATCTGAGTAGGGGCACGACCGACTGCTCATCAAGCCTCAAACACTCAAGCAAATCAGGCTGAGCAGTAGTGGGTCTTTCTTTTTGCTTTCGCTCTCTCTACTCCATCTTTTTTCTATCCTATTTTGTTGGGCTTCCTTTATTTTGTACACAGGACGTTTTCTTGGAGAAATTAGTTCCTGTTGTTGCGCATCCTCGCTTTCTCTCTAATTAAAAAAAAGAAGTAAATTGTTTCCTTCGTTTGATAGACGTTTGGGTAATTGGTTAGGGCATCTTTGAAAACGTGTACCTTGAGCAAGTACACCTTCACGTTCCTTACTATTCAAAATAGGCCTACTTTTGACATTTTAAAGAGATCTATTTTGTGAGATTGTCAATTTTGTTAAAAAAAAAAAAGTTTTGTCCCTTTGCGTCTCTCTTTAAACTATTTTCATCTTCTCTCTACGCGACTTCCTCATCAAGTCGTATTTTAGACTTTATGATTTCTCTCTACCGAGTCGTATTTTCAACTCTCTGATTTCTCTCTACCGAGTTGTGTTTCGACCAGCGTTTTAAAAATCGCCGAGTCGAATCGGACTCGCCCGGTTCGACTCGAAATTCACGAAAAGGGTACCAGATCGGTTCAAAAACCGGGAATCGTCCGGTTCTAGAGAGAACCGGACGATTCCGTACAGCGACTCGCCGATTCACTGTGCGGAATCGGCGAGTCCGTGAAGAACACGGGTTGTACAGTGTTCTTCACGGATTTTTTCAAATTTGTCATTTTTTGATCATTTTTTTTGTTTTTTTTATGCATGTGATCTGTTTTGCAGGCTGTAAACAGCTTTATTCAGCTTTTTCAAGGATTAAATGATGGAAAAATTGGTTGTTTTTGGATCAAGAAAAATTCGGGGTTTAGGGTTTCT